TTAGGTTTAGGGTAAGGTTTGGGTTGGGTTTAGCGATGAAATTAATGATTTAGTCTCGGTACGTAAGCTAATTATTTGAAAACAATGAATACTCACGGGCAGGTTGACACAGCCTAAAAAGTTTGATTTGTAATTCATATGATAAACTTAAGATTTAAGTATGTCATTGCTAAGCTTTGTACATTATTATCTTACCTTGAAGTCTAAAGCGGAATAGAAACCGTCCATTTGCTTGAAGTTTATTTATAAGGCCGTGAAAGCTACTTTTAGCAGAGACGCCATGTTGACACGTACTCGAAGCGAAAACCCAGTCAAAACTTATTGCAATCGGTACAATTCTACGTCAAACAATATAATTTTTACAATTTTTTCTCCTCTTGAATCCAGGTTTTTAAGTTAGTGCGATGGGTCAGTTGTTTTCGGCAAATATCGATTGAATCCACAGCATATAACACAGGAAACCCATCATGGTGAACCTTATTTTACCGATGGCAAAAATTAAAAGAATTTCTTAAAAACAAAACTTTATGCAGAAAAATGTTTGTTATTATTAGAAAAAGGAGAAAAAGAAAAGAGAATCTCCAAAACATCAAAAAGAAAAAAAGAAAAAAGTGTCTTGTCTCAAGCTGGACTCGAACAGCGGTGCTCCCTATAAAACTACTAAAACACGCCAAGTTTCATCAAAGTGCCACCGTGGCACAATCGGTTAAGGCGCTTGGCGTACAATCCAGAGGTCGCGGGTTCGAAACCGCGGGTTCGAAACCTAGTGGGAACATAGGCTACCCAACTATTGCTTGAGAGAAAGAAAAGAATGAATGCGCGTGCGCTGTGGGTTACCTGTGGTATTAAAAACATCGCAGTCTCAAAGTGAACAGGAAAGTGATCGAGCGAGTGACAGCTTGTCCCCTCCCAATAACTCTACGATTGCTAACGCAAATATTAGACGGGCAAAATATTGTGACCCTCCCCGTCCCCCTTCAACCATTACCAGAACAATTAATCATTACCCCCAAGCATCCAGTGAATGGTGCAGGGCCTATAATTGGACCATTCAGTTGATTAGGACATTTKATACATCTGTTCTAAGTATTGTACACAGTGTATACTTTGTTTGTCTTTGTTCTTTTTGTTATTTGAGCAAAATAAAACATTTTTTTTCTGATGTGTTTATACTGTGATTATCATTATCATTATTATTATTATTAGTAGTAGTAGTGTCAGTATTATTGACATTTCTTTGTTTCATAATTACATTAACCAGCGGACCTTAGATCTAAGCTAGTTAATTACATCTTTTTCATATTCCCTTTTTCAGTTAACATATTCATAGAACTTCTTTACAATATTTATGTAAACTTCTTTTCCTTTAAGTCTACTTTATTCAGACAGCTTCCTACGATTATGTCGGCGTAGGCTATGTTTGAATTTTTGCGAGGTCCTCTGGCCTATCGTTACTCAGTTTACCTCAAACGCTCCAGAAAACTACTGCCCCTCACTGAGCCCGCGCATCGCCCTTTTTTTTGGTTGAGCTTCCTAAATTTTCCATTGCTGRCTATCCATCCACTTCGGTTTCCTCTTCGCTCTGGCTGAACGGCGTACTTGAGGCAGCTTCTGTTGAGGAACTTCATCCAGCTCACCACCATCGGTAAGAGGATCCCGGGCAGCCTGCTCGATCATCCGGACAGTCGGAGCCGACCCGCAAGGGACATAATTTCAGGTTATTTCTATGAAGGGTTTTCTTCCTCCCCACTCCATCTTCTCTCCTCACGACATAAACAGGTATTTCGGGATTCGGCTTGGCCATGACCTCGTAAATATCTGTTTCCCAGTAATTGTCCAGTTTTCCAGTCGGCGTGAAATTCTTAACGAGTACCTTATCTCCAATCTCAATTCGRTTTGAAGGAGGCCTTTGATCATATGTCGCTTTCTGTCTCATACTTGCCGATTCAGCATTCCTTCTGGCCAACCCATAGGCGTACTCCAATCTCTTGCTAAGGTCTTGAATGAATCTAGAATGATCTTTGCTAGAGTTTGTATTAGTGTCTAGTCCAAAGTAGACATCAATGGCTAATCTTGGATGCCGACCAAACATGAGATAGAATGGTGAAATTCCGGTGCTACTATGTTGACTACAGTTGTAAGCGTGTACGACAGGTGCTACATATTCCTTCCAGTTAGACTTCTGACTCTCATCAAGTGTTCCAAGCATGTGGAGTAGAGTTCGATTAAACCTCTCACACATCCCGTTACCCATGGGATGGTACGGAGTAGTTCTGGTTTTCACCATTCCTGCAAGCTCACATAGATGCTTTATAACTGCCGACTCAAAGTTCCGTCCCTGATCGCTATGAAGACGTTCCGGAAAACCATAGTGTACAATGAAGTTGTTGAACAGCGCCTTGGCAGTGGTTCTCGCTGTTTGGTTGCAAGTTGGAATGGCTTGTGCGTACCTGGTAAAGTGATCGGTCACAACCAAGATGTTTTCCGGGCCTCCTTTAGATTTCTCAAGCTTAAGAAAGTCCATGCAAACGAGTTCCATTGGTGCACACGAGGAGATGTTAACTAGTGGTGCCACTCGATATGGCGTTGGTACCTTACGTAACGTACATGCTCTACAGAATTTAACCCTTTCTTCAATATCCTTTGACATTTTGTGCCAAAAGAAGCGTGCTCTTGCTAACTCTATCGTTTTCTCGGATCCGAGATGTCCCATTTCGTCGTGGATGCCTCGGAAGGCCTTATCCTTTAACGCGTTCGGGACCACCAGCTGGAGGACATCGGAGGACGTGTCTTCCTGGCGTCTTCGATAGAGAATTCCGTTCACTAAGGTCAATCTTTTCCATTCGTTAAGGTATCTTCTAACTTCATTACACTCCTTACGTAAACTGGCTCCATGGGGCTTTACTCCCTTTCTGACGTAGTATATGACATTCTTTAGAACCCCATCGTCTTCTTGGCATTTCCGTAAATCTTCCATCGGTTGTTCACTTCCCTCAA